ACGGTAGGGGGGTCCCGTCCATACGGTAGGGGGGTCCCGTGCGTACGGTACCTAGGTACCTTATGACCATTTTGACAATTTTTTTATTTTTGTCCAAATCATTTCCAATTTTGTTTAAAATCTTTTGGATGTTTGAAAATGATTATAAAAGGGTTTTAAACATGTTTTGTGAGTGTTTTTGAGCTTGTGAATATAGGTATATAAAATCATATCCTTACATTGGTTTCTACCTATATTCTACGCTAGTTTAGTGTTTCGACTTCATTCTTGAGTACCGAATCTTAATGGATTCTTGTTTTTCCTGAAACACTTAAACAAACGTTAAGCTCTTATATTGTTTGTTAACATCAAAACATGAGGCTTAGCAAACCAAAGCTAACAAGTAGAACATCTGTCTGTGCGGAATCTTAGACATCTCATCTTTATAGCGTGGCTTATGACACACCTTGCACTCGGTAAGACTTTCATCGTAACCATTGAGTTGTCCTCCAGAAGAATGTCTTTGATGTATTGACATATGGTGTCGTAACAACGCTCAGATAGATTATGCTCTGACTTAATATTCAACAAGCGCGCAACTGCAGACAACTGAGACGTCTTAGAACTCCCCGGCCAAAGATCTATATCAGCAGCTTTCAACATTTTGAAGAAGTGCTTGTCTGTCGAATTTGGCTCTTCTTTAAGAACAGAGTTGATCCTAGTCGGGCCGACTGCATCATAAATCATGTGTACAAACTGTTCTCTACCCGAGACATGTGATACATTTGAGGCATCAGCTTGATGAGGGATTTTACATCGTTGTGGAGGTACGTAGTCACCATGATTCTCCCCGTGACATACCCAATCAAAATAATTGGGGGTGAATCCAAACCGCAAAATATGCTCCAACATATTCTTTGATGAGCAAAACTTGATGTTCTTACATTTCTTGCAAGGACATCGCATTTTCTTGTTATCCAACCTATCTACATTGGGACTTGACTCACAGTACTCTACAAACTCAACCACGTTGTCTACCCATTCTTGACTAACAACACCTTCTCTCTCATATTTCTTATACATCAACTCACGATTTTCGAATGGACTCATTATAGAAACGCCTGGTAATTGAAAGGCAACAAACAACAATCATTTAACCAAGAATATCAATGACATTTATTACCAACAAACCATAGCAACAATAAAGGCGGCTAACAAACGACAATCTTATTAAACCACAAACAACAATCATTTAACTATAGATATGAACATATAATGCACTCAATTTCAGAAAATTCAACTAAATTTTACCTAAATTCACAAGCGAGGACCATCGTCGGCGGCGAGGACAGGCGTTGAAGGCTCGCGGAGGGGTGGCATTCGCAGACGCCTGACGGGGAGAGAGAATCGGGATAGGGTTCAACTGAAGGACGAATGGCTGGGAAATTTTCAATCTCGATTTTTAGTTTAGAGCTTGCGACGAATTTACGATGGATATAAGGGCCCGTCGCAAATTATCCGGTCAAAATTTGACCAACTTAAATTTGCGACAGGCGAACATAATCCGTCGCGGATTAGCGACGAAAATATAGGATCCGTCACAGATTATGCTTATTTTTCAAGGATTACACTTTCGTCGCAGATTCGTTGCAGATCTGCTATGGAAATGAGTCCGTAGCAGATTTCCGTTGCAGACCAGACAAATTCTTGTAGTGTGAGCAGGAACGTGATAAACTCTTACCGCTCTCAGTTTCAACATCAATAGTCCTGACCTCTCATAAACATTTTTTAAAGCGGTTATGATCCCCATATTCGTACAAAAAGCGATGTTGAAGCATCGAATTGAAGTACACGTTGATTAATCTTACTACATTGGCCTGGAAAAGTACCGTATTTATAGTACATATAATTGTAATAGGCTATAGGCTACACTCAATAAGGGTTAAATTTTTCCGAAAATGGTGTATGATTATTCTCACCATAATTATTTTTTTCGAAATTGGGTTCATAATTGTATAACTTACCTTTTTTTAATTATTTCCTTTTTTTTGCGAAATTGGGTGTATAATTCTATAACTTACCTTTTGTAATTATTTCCAATTGGGTGTATAAAAATGAC